GGAGCCTGTGCTCCGCAACGGGAGAGGCCACAACAGTGAGAGGCCCGCGTACTGCAAAAAAAAAAAAAAAAAAAAAAAAAAAAAAAATAGGAGGCGTGGATAGTATTTGTTTATCTTCCAGTGTTCTCTCTCATTATCCATGAGACAAAGAATAAACTCTTTGCATCTCCTATGTGGGACAGCCTCTTTTCTTACTAAATATGCTAATCTTCAATCTGATTGATAAACCTGCAACCTGGCAACAGCCTTATCTCTTAGTCTGTTGGAGAAAAGTGGTTAGGTTACTACAAATGGATGTGCTCTGATTTTTCTTTTCCAACCACCCATCCAAGCAACAAACATTACTAAGTACTTACTATATATGGAGAACTATGATGAAAACAAAAGCACATTCTTGTGTTTTTAAGCTTACCAGGGCAAATGTGCCAGTTAACCGATCCATCTGCCTTCCTGCCCCCATAAAAAACACAGTCAGCAATCAGAATCACCAGTCAGAATCTTTGGCCAATCAGAATACATTAAAGGCTCTTCTCTTTAGCATAAAATTTTGTTCTCTTTAAAGAGAGAGACATCAAGTGATAAGTGTCGTTAGCAGTAACCACTTTCACATACATTATCTCATTTCCTTGTTGACCATGGGGTTAGGTACCAGTTCAGCAGAGAGAGTGCACAGAAATGATGATTGCCCTCAGAAAGAAGGAGGCTTAAATGGTTGGCAGCTAAACATAAGGCTTGGCCTACCATCCAAGTCAATAGATCCATGTGTACATTTTCTAGTAATTCAGTTTCAGACCAAGGCTGTAAACAAAACATACTTTAAAATTCCTTGCCAATATTTTCTTTCGATTTCCAAACTACTGGGTTTCCCCTCATTTACTGAATTACATTGTATACTTACAGCACTGTGAGTGAATTGCACGACAGAAAGGTGGAATTCGTAAGGTATTTTATTCCATTGCCTTCCAAATCCCTAAAATTTAGGCATGGAGGAAAAATATTTTTAATGTTTTTGCACAAATCATACGTCTAAAGGCAGTTTTTGGTGATATAACAATTCTGAACTTTATTTTTACTTCATTCCAATTTTTAGGCTTTCCTCCTACTTATTGCAGGGTCAGTATAATTAATATTCTGCATCTTTTTCCCCTTCTAATTAGTGTTAAAACTTAATAAAACTGAGCGAAAGGGCAGCCCGCCATTTAGTGAATGTGTCTCTGTGCCAGATACCATGCTATTAATTTGCATAAAATTTGTACTATAATAATAGTAACTCCCATTTATTGGGCTTTTATAGTGTCAGGTACTGTTCTGAGTGCATAATACACACTCCTACAAAGTTGGCATTATTACCTCCCATTTAACATATGAGAAATCCGAGGATCTTGGAAATTTACTTTTCTTCTGGTCACACAGCTATTGAGGGGTAGAACTGACCTTCTAAATCAGATCCATCTGAATCTAATGCCTAGACACTTAGTTGTGGCATCGTAGATCGCTATATTCTCCCCTCCCCTCCCCCAGGGTCAGGTAGATATTTGTGTCTCTATTTTGCGGCAGGAGAAACTCAGGCCAAACTATCTACCGAACACTGGATGCCAGAGTCAGGATGGCAAGTCCCAAGCTGTGTGAAGGAAAGTGGCTGCTCTTTCTACCTCCCTCCGTGATGCTGGTGCTGAGTGCAGTGCTGCTCCGAGGGTCCCAGGTCCCAGCATCACCTGGGACCTTGTGAAAATGCAGATTTCCAGGCTCCACCCCAGACCCACTGAATCAGAAACCCTAGCACTGAGGCCCAGCGCTCTGTCCTAAGTCTTTGCATTGCCTGCGCTCTACGCTGACGTTGGAGAAGCACTGGTGGAGAGACTACGTTCTGCCAAGGTGAACCTTATGACAGCAGCACCCGCATCGTCAGGGAACAACCCCGGGAACACTCTGACATGGCCGCTGCCGGCAGCGCCAAGGAAGGAGACGATTGGCTCTTCTGCCAACTCTCCTCATTCCGTTTAACGCTGGCTTCCTACAGGCCTCCCGTACACGACAATAGCTGTTTTGCTGCCTCTGAACCTCTCTCACGTTCACGTTAATATCACCAGTTCCTTTGTCATTGCCTTTAAAATCCTATTTTAAAGCCATCTTGGAGGTCTTGCAGGAACTCAACTATTTTTTTCACTCTTAAAATACAGCAATTGCAAATAATAAACAGTGTAGTCCCTTGAAAGGCTAAATATTGTTCAGTACAATAGGGAAAATGTTTTTTACATCTCGTAACACTTTGCAGTTGTGAGCAACAGTCCCAGCTGATAGCAAGTGAGGGGGGTGAAGCATGGCCGAGGCGGGGGTTTTCCTGCCTTTGAACTGGGGCCATTTGAGTCTGACCTCTCCGCTCTCATTTGTGATCAGCCAATCTTGCTAACGACATCTTTTCACTGAGTGTCTATTTTTTCCCTCGTGTCTGTGGGAGCCTAGAGTGAAAACGAGTGTCCCCAGAACCCAGGGCTTGGATGTTGCTTCCTGGTCCCCTCCTCGTTGCTGATGCCCATCTTGGGGATGGGATGGGTACAGGCTGGAGGCCTGATATTTTTCTGTTAACTTTACTCCTTCCTGTTGCTTTCCCACTGTGTGGATGTACTTGCTTAGTTTCTAAGTATTTTCCACCTATTCTTCATGAGTTTTATTCTCGTGTTTTCAGATCATCAATTTCCATCCCACCCCCCCACCCCCGCCAACTTTGTTTTTTTAAGGCAGCTCTGCACGGCATGTGGGATCTTAGTTCCCTGACCAGGGATCAAACCCGTGCCCCCTGCATTGGGAGCATGGAGTCTAAACCACTGGACTGCCAGGGAAGTCCCATCGCTCCCATTTTTAACATTTAGCACACTTACGTGAGACCCCCATTGCCTTAAAAGCCTTTTGATAACAGGTATGTAAATAATTTTTTTAAGTCAGTAAATAAACACAAGGTCATCTAATAGCGCTGTAACAAGTGAGGCTAGTTCAGAGAGGATCCAAAGCTGAGGTACAAAAATTTTATCATATTATGGGTATTGAGTCCCCTGATTTGACAATGGGGAGAGTTCTGGGGGGACAGTACAACCGGCATTTTCCCAGGACAGGAAGTCGCTCCTGTGCCAATCCTGCCTGTCTCAGGAGACCGTGAATATGAACATGGTGGAATGGTGGGTAGTGGTGGTGAAACCAAATGAATGGTTTAAATGTGTATTGGTCGAAAGCTACCAAGGAGGGGAAATGGTTTAGCACGTTCATTTAGAGTTTTTTTTTGAGCACTATTATGTGCTGATCCTTGTGCTGGGTATAAAATCACAGAATTTACTGAACGGTAAGGGATAAATAGGTAAACAGATGGTTCTATGATGACAGTGCCCTGAGACAGCGGTGCAGTGGGAGGAGGGGAGGCGTGGTGGAGGCTCTCCTGTCATAATCGGGGCACAGAGGCAGCCACTGAACTGGTGGGTGTATCAGAGACGGCTTCCTGAAGGTGACGCTTAAATTGACTTTTGAAGGAAATGTCGGAGAATAAAGAAGCAAGACCTTTCAAGTTGAAGGAAGGACGTGTGTTCAGGGAACTGACTGAAGGAGCAGTAGTTTGGTGTATCTGAAAGGAAGGCACAAGAGGAGAAGGGGCTGGCAAAGAGACCAGGTGGAGTAAGGGATAGAGGATAACGGGTCTCTGGTGCTAAACTGGGAGGCTTGAACTTTACCCTCATACCCGTGGGGATTCCCAGAAGATGTTTCAACCAGGAAGTGACATGATCAGATTTTGGTTTTAGAAAGAAAAGCAGAGATGAGCTTTTTGTGTAACTGTGAATTAACTTCAGGGCTAGTTTCCTGAATCTGGGTGAATAACAAATTAGCTGCTAAGTGCATACTCACATCCAGTTGAGTTGAGGCATTTGGGCACACATCTGCTCGGGAAGGGCTTCTAAGTAGTTATTCACCATAGACCTTTACACAAAGAAGAGATTAATTAGAAACGAAATGATATGCCACTTTAAGAACAGTATTTTTACTATTTCCACAGTTTGGGAACTTGTATGCTAAAATCAATATATTAGGATGAAGAATATAAACATAACTACCTCTTCAAAATGGTCTCTAGATATGTGTGTGGCATGGATAAGGGAGCAGATGTCAGAGAAACTATGAATGCATAAGTGTGATACATAACCTAGGAATAAATATGAAACAGTTTGACTTTATGAGATGAAACGAAAGTATATACTGGGTAATAATTTTGAAGTTCATGGTAATTTTCCTTGTAAACTTGAAATTTGCAATCATTTCCAGCATCATACATCCAAAGCTTCATTTTAAGAGAAATGTTAATCATTTACAATATTAAAAGGCCACATTGGAAACTGCATTAAATCTAAGAAGTGATAGTGGGAGGCATTTGGGGAAGAAAACAACTCATGAGCATGTTAAGCTGCATGATTAATTTATGATACTGTGGTCCCTTTTCACAAATGGAAAATTAATGATGCTGTATGATCAACTGTAAAGGAACATAATAATCCCCTGCTGCTAAATCATCCCAGTATATTAATAAACACTGAAAATGTAATTATGAGAAAAGCTTAGTTGCTAAGACAAAGATTTTGGAATTTTCAGTTACTCTTGCTGGACAAAGACACATTTTCCTTTGTTAAAAATGTAGTTGGAGCTGAACTCCTGGAAGACTCTAACAAATTTAAATGTAGTAAGGAGATAAAAATGAATACTATCTTTGGTGAACCACTGCAAATAAAAACGTGCCTTAAGAAAACAAAACAGAACATGCCTTAGGACTAAAGGGAATTAAAGGAGATCAAAAGGAATTGAACTAGTCGGCTTAAAATATACCATGAGCCATGGACAGGAAGCAACAACAGTAATTGTGGCTTGAAAGACAGGAAAGGTTTTGACTAGTATAAATTTTAGGGGGCTTGATTTTCTTAAAGCTCTTTTTGTAAGTTAGTTTTAGATGTCATTGCAATTTATAGACAGATGGATTGAAAGGTAGATGAATACTTACAGGAAAAACAAGGAATTTAATCCAGTAAACAACCGCTGTGAAATTCTGGTTATGGGATTGTCGTCTAGAATTCTGACAAAATGTATCACAAACATTTCCAATGTTACATACATTTGCGAAATTAAACCAGGAAGAAATAAAAGGCCGTGTCAATCCTGTCTCCCCCCAGCACCTGCCCTCCTCCTTCCTGTCTGTCCACACTCGGCTCAGGGCTCTTCCCAGAGAGCTTTTCCTTCACCCCGTGGCTGGGGCAGCACTTTCCTCCAAACCCCCATAATCCCCATCCCAGGAATTATCAAGTCCATCCCGGTGGTCTTTGCTCCCTGTAGCCACCTCCCTCTGGAATTAAGAACCTTCACCTCTGGGTTCCTGGGTCCAGACAAGCTACACTTAGCTATTGGCTGATTATGGGCTCCATAAATGCTTTGACCTACTGATTGACTGAATGAAAAATGAATGAAAAAAAATTCTTAGGAAATCACAAATGGTTCCTTGGTCTCACGGTGTTTAAATGATGTAATTAGTGGGGCCTATGTGAACAAACTTATTAGAAGCTTTGAGGGTGAAAGAGTGAAAAGACTTATAAATTCAAATCACTGTTTTTAGTTCTATATGGTATTTTCCTAGAAAAAAAATAGATAAGAGGAAATATGCCTTCTTTTCTCTCGTTGCCTTTGAAGCCAGGTACCATTTCCTCTTACTTTCAGAGGTACCTGAGGGTAGCATTTGGAGAAGGGGGCTTCTGAGCACCTACTATATGCCAGGCATTCTGCATGTGACACTATATATGTTATATGATTTAATTCTCACAACATCCCTCTTAGAAAAAAGGAATTATGATTATGAAGATGAGGAAAAAGAGGCCTAGGAAGATCAAGAAAATTGTCTGGAACATTAAGCACGGGGCCATGGCATACACAAGGTTCTGGATGCACCTGAAGTCCTGGCTTTTTCCCCTAGACCAGGCTGGCCTACAGAAAATGGGGAAACTGACACAGCCTTCTAACTGCCCTTTGTTCATTTTTCCTGATGAAAACACAGACCTCTGATGTGAGACTCCTTAGGATGGAGCTGGTGGCTCAGCTTGATAAGTGATGAAATACAACAAGCTCACATAGTTTCAGTCTTTTCTATGAATTCTCTGGAAATCAAAAAAGGCCTTATCTTGCTTACTTTCTAGGTCTGTGGTTTTCAACAGAGGGCACTCTT